GCAGCGTGGAGCCCCCCCACGTTCACCCACACGGTCTGGCCCCTGCGCCAGATGTGTCCCAGTCGTGACAAGGCCTGCAACCCAAGACACAGCCAAAGAGTGGTTGGCAGCTTCAAGGTAAGGTGATATGGGTACATTTGCTTTAGAAATTATTTTGGTTATTCTAAATCACACCTGATGGCAATGTAAAATTACTCTTTTGGTCCCAAACTGCATTTAAATGCTACTAATTATTGCCTAAAAACAGATAATCTTCTGTAATGAAATCCGTTTAGAATTTGTTCCTCATTATATTTTCAGGTGTAAATAGGTCTAGATTTTCCCTCACAGAACACACCTTAGCAAAGCATTTCTTGTCCTGTGTCAGCAGCACAGCCCTCCCTGTCCCTGGTGTGCAGATCCGGCCCATCTCCATCAGGCAGGCTGGGTAGAGATCCCAGTTCTTCTTCTTTGACCCTATCCTGCAAAACACATTAAGATCCCCTTTGTGACCACTGAAAAATATTTAACTGCTGTTGGTCATTCAGACATGGACTAGCTTGTTCAGGACCACGTTTACTAGCAATTTCAACCACATTTTTAACATAGGGTACATCAATACTTCTTAGTTAGGCCCCGTGAAAGGGCCTCACTAAGAGAGAACCCTAACCCTGGCCAGGCGAGCACAGGCAGCAGCAGCTGAGCACAGGAACTCCACCAGTGACTCCTCACCTCTTCCCAAAGGGCATGTCTGTCACAATGATGTCCACAGAACCAGTCCGCAGAGGCAGATTGCAAATATCCCACTGAATGATGTCCAAGGGTATGCCCAGGGAAGTGCTGCTGCAAGGGCAAAGATGTTTATCCCAGACATGGTTTACTGAGAACATTTTTGATTTGAGGAGGTCAGTAACAACAGCAAAAGAATAGACAGGAAAATATTACGACAGTCAAATGCATTGATGCAAAATGGATTTCTTTGCATACAGTACTACAGGAAAAGACAATCAGCTGTACTCTTCTCACCTTTCCTTATCCTCATTTTTCTTTAGTAAAGAGCAGATGTTGTTTGCTGCTCTCTTTACAGCTTGTGGGTTGTTATCACCAGCAATATGGTAGCAGCTAGGCCATTCTGTAGCTCCCTGGGGGGAAGTATTGACAATAAGCAACACTAGCATCAACATTGCTTAATTTAAAACCAAACAGAAGAATTACTCAAATATGAGACGACAGCAAAGCAACTGGAAGTGGACATCAATTATTTTAAACTTCTGTAACAGGCATCTGTTAGTGCTATGATGCACCTTAAAAGCTCAAATTACTTCTGGATTTAGCTTCTTCCTACTACTGCTTTGGGAAGGAAAATGAGACCATTTTCAAAAAGTACATCTATTTAAGAGCTGGCAAGATACTTCTGGAGTTGGCTACTCAGTTCTTACCAAGAAAATGTACATGTGCTGTTCTGTGGCAGACACTGTCAAGTTTTATTAAATTAAAAAATAAAGTAAGTCACCTCTATGGGTATTGCCCCTGTCCCACACATGGGATCCACGATGATATCTGTCGGCTGTGGGTCACAGAGTCTGAGGAACAGAAAAAAAGATGTGATGAGAAAAGTCTTTAAAAGTCCTAAGGAAGGAAAACAGAAGTATTTTCATTGCTCTGATCCTACCCTCCTAACAAAACAACTTCTGTGTGATAATTTTTTCCATTCATTAATTAGCCTTTTAAAAGCACCAATACAGTGAAATACTTTGAAGAATGTGATACAGTATTTTAAAAATGGACTAATGGATCACAGCAAATGTTTACTAAGCTGGAGAACTGCCACTGTTAATTGCAGAGCACACTGCCTCAGCAACTGTGCTTTTTTCTTTTTCTAAGAATTAACACAAATGGCTTTTGAGGAAGCAGTGGGGAAATAAAGCATCTAATTTCTGAAACAAAACACCTTGTTAACTGAGGATAATGCAACACTATGCCAGCAGACTGACCTAAGCATGCCATAAGCCAGAGTTGAACGAAGAGTTGTGGGACCAAAATGTGTAATATTTCTTCTGTGAAGGCTCTCTTCAGTTAATGCAATGCCCACAACTACTTCATTATTGTGAATATTCAGAAGAACCTAAAGCAAAAACAAACTACATTTCAGGAGTAATAGGAGTTTTCCAGTTTGCCTGGTAAATATTTGAGAATCTTAGATAGTAATGTAAAAAGAGCAAATACAGATCAAAGAGCGTTCTTGGAGAAAAGCAATGCACCATCTGTAATGGCAACAAGGGACAAGAAGTCAGGAGAGCACTCACATTTTCTTTCATACAGAAAAAGAACAGGCATTTTCTCATTCACACAAAACCTTTTACACAAGACTTCGAAAAGGGCTACAACCATTAGCTGACTTTTTACAAGTTTTGTTTGTGAGCAGCAAGGGGAGCAGGGAAGTTCTGCACCATGAAGCATTTGCAAAGCAGCCATAAAAATCATATTCCTGGTCCCCTCCACCCTAGGAATCTGGAAGGTGAAAATACTGTTACAGGACAGTGGGCCTTAACAGACCTGCAAGAAAACCTAGTTTTTCTGCCCCCCAAGAACAGTGGTCCCACACCATGGATGGACCACGTTTGCTGGAGGTCCTTCCCACATCTCTGCTGTCCCTATCCTAAGAGATCAACACTGCAGCCAATGTTAACCCTACCTGCCCCTCCAACCATAAAACCGCAGCAGCTAGGTGGAGCATCTTCTGTTAACTTACACTGATATAAAGCAGTAGATGGAGCAAAGATTTAGTGGGGGTAAAAGTGAAGCAGAATGCACCTGAATGAGCCCAGACACTACAGGAACATGCAACAGGGGGTACTAGAGCTTTGGAGGTTCTTAGGGGTGAGGGGAAAGCTGCTGAGCACCAGCCCAGCTGCACTGGGTGCAGTGATGTTACTGGGTTAACCTGACAACAGTGTCTGCAGAGCAACAGTGGGACCCAGGGAAGGAGAGGTGCCCACCCTGGGTCACAAGAGATTACTGTGGACAGCCAGAGCACCTGGTGGGATCTGAGGACACACATGATGTGCCAATGAAATTAATGCTTCTGAGGAGGCCATGACTGCAGCATTGCCAGTTTTTAGTTCCACAGTGACTTTTTTTTAAGGCCTTTTGGAGATCTTTAAGCATCAGAATTAAAAATATTTACAATAGAAATCCAGGTCCATCCAAGGAACAACACCATACCTCTACATCAAAGTTAGTCATGTCAGCTTTCCACTGGAAGTGCTCCTGCACAGCTCCTCCGAAGTCCCTGGCAGCCTCGTTGGAGGTGAAACTGTGCTTCTCTCCTGCCCTATTGCAGGTAACACGGAACTTCAGCACCTTGGCCTGGCCTGCCTGACCCTCACCAGCCTGGCCCTCACTCCCAGGACCCGCCTGCAATTCCTCTTTAGCATCAGACTGGTCATTATCATCCTCCTCCTCCTCCTCTTGGGTCTTCTCTGTGTCCTGGCCACTGGCGGGTTCTCCCCCTGCAGCGTTTTGGACACTGTCCTCCTGTTTCCTAGCATCTTTTGGATCTGCTCCTTCCTCTTCTCCACTGCCATGCAGCTTCTCCTTGCCTGCAGTGCTCTGCAGACTGTGCTTTTTGCGTTTTGTCTTTCTCTTCTTCAAGCTGTTGTTCAGCTCCCAAACTTTCAACGGATCGGCCCAAGGCAGCTTTTTAACCAAATCTTCCAAATCCTTTAGAGCATCTTCCTTTAAAAAACAAAAATAAGTTGAGCTTTGAAGTCATTCCCTCCCTTTAAAAACTAGCCCTTGTCAGGTCTCTCAGATGAGTTCCCTGAACACGTAACCCACCGCACATTTAAGCACAGCTTAGTTTTCTGTGCAGCCATTGCCATAACTAAACCAAACTGCACTAAGTCACAGGAACCACAGTATTTCATCATTTATCTTGTCAAACAAGCATTTAACACTAAAGTACAAGACCTGTGGCTAAGAGTGACCTACAAGTGTGGTCTCTGCTGTCATCCAGGATTTTGCCTGTGGAACATGCACAGCTGCAGCACAGATGACAGACACGACTGCATGAGCTGGGAATGAGCTGGGGTGGTATCACAAATAAAACAACCACAGAACACTTCCTGAAGCCAGTGTCACATTAAAAAAAAACAACAAGACAACACTCCAGAAGCCACGGTTGAACAATGAGATGTAACTCACCTTGTTCTCTTTAAATTGATAGTCTTTGAACTCCTGAACTACAACAAATAAGTTATCCACTGACCTCAGCCGATGGACCTGGAAGAAATGAGAAACCCCAGTGGCAGTTACTGTGCACGCCTGGGGACGGTGTTAATTGCAATTAGCACTGTCGGCTCGCAGCTCGATTTAAGGACCCACGCTTTTCCGCGGCTTTTTTCCGCCAAAGCAGGGTTTTGATGTGTTTTTTCCCAGCGCTCCCCGTTCCAGCCCCAGGGCCGGGCCCTGCCCCGCGCCCCGGCCGGACCTGCGGGAGGCTCCGCGCCGGGACCCCGAAGTAGATCTTGCCGCGGTCCCGGCTGATGCTGGCGGCCGAGCCCAGCTTCTCCTGCACCTCCTGGGCCGCCGTCAGCTCGAACCCGGTGGGCACGGTGGCACCGAGCACC